CAACCACTCACCACCCTCACAGAGACAACCAACCACTCCACTACTCACCCACTACCCTCACTCACCCTCACACAGACAACCAACCACTCACTCACTCACCACTACATCACACAGACAACCAACCATTCACTACCCCACACAGACAACCAACCACCACCACCACCACTACCTCACCCAAACAACCAACCACTCACTACCTCACCACATCACACAGACAACCAACCACTCTCTCACTACCTCACATAGACAACCAACCATTCATTGACTCACTAACTACCTCACCATAAACAAACAATCACTCACTCACTACCATAAACAGACACAACCACTCACCCACTCACCACTCACTATCTCACACAGACAACCAACCACTCAATACATTCACTTTCTACATCACAAAGACAACCAACCACTCACCACCTCACCACATCACACAAACAACCAACCATTCACGACTCACTAACTACAACACATAAACAAACAATCACCACTCACTACCACAAACAGAGACAACCACTCACTAATTCACTCACTATATCACACAGACAACCAACCACTCACTCACTACCTCACACAGACAACCAACCACTCACCACCACCACCACTACATCACACAGACAACCAACCACTGATTACCCCACTACATCACACAGACAACCAACCACCCACTCACCCACTCACCACCTCACACAGACAACCAACCACTCACTCACCACCACTACATCACACAGACAACCAACCACCACTACCTCACACAGACAAACAACCACTCACTCACCACTACCTCCACCACCTCACACAGACAACCAACCACTCACCTACCACCACTACATCACACAGACAACCAACCACCCACTCACCACCAGTACATCACACAGACAACCAACCACCCACTCACAACCTCACACAGACAACCAACCACCTACTCACCACCACTACTCACCCAAACACCAACAACTCACTAACTCCACACCACACAGACAACCAACCACCTCACCACCACCACACAGACAACCAACCAACCACCTCACTCCCACACAGACAACCAACCAACACTCCACTACCACCTCACACAGACAACCAAACACCCACCTACCATCACACAGACAACCAACCACTCACTCTCCACCACCTAACACAGAACAACCAACCACCCACTGCTCCCACACAGACAGCCAACCACCACCACCACTCACATTGACAACCAACCACCTCACCACTACCCCTCACATAGACAACCAACCACTCACTCACCACTCACCACCCACCAAACAACCAACAACTCACCACTCACCACTCACTCCTCACACAGACAACCAACCAACCACCCACTACCACAAACAGACAACCACTCACTCACTCACCAACATCACACAGACAACCAACCAACCACTCACTACCTCACACAGACAACCAACCACCCACCTACTCACTCAAACAGGCAACCAACCACCACCACTCACCACCACCTCACACAGACAACCAACCAACCACCTCACTACCTTACACAGACAACCAACCACCCACTTACTACCTCACACGGACAACCAACCAACCTCCTCTCACTACCTCACTCCTCACACAGACAACCAACCATTACTGACTCACTAACTACCTCCACATAAACAAGCAATCACTCACCACTACCTCACACAGAAACCAACCACTCACTCACCTCACCTCACTACATCACACAGACAACCAACCACTTACTACCTCACTACATCACAGACAACCAACCACTCACCACTCACTCATTACATCACACAGACAACCAACCACCCACTCACTACCTCACAGACAACCAACCACTCACTCACTCACCACCACCTCACCCAAACAACCAACCACTCACCACCTCACTACATCACACAGACAACCAACCATTCACGACTTAACTACCCACATAAACAAACAATCACTCACTCTACTACAAACAGACAACCACTCACTACTCACCTCACTATATCACACAGACAACCAACCACTCACTCACTACCTCACACAGACAACCAACTGCCCACCACCACCACCACTACACCACACAGACAACCAACCACTGACTACCTCACTACCTCACACAGACAACCAACCACTAACTCACTCACCACCTACATCACACAGACAACCAACCACCCACTCACTACCACAACAGACAACCACTCACTCACCACCAGCACTACGGACAACCAACCACCCACTCCACAACCTCACACAGACAACCAACCACCACCACCACCACCACCAACCAAACAACCAACAACTCACTACCTCACCACACCACACAGACAACCAACCACCACCCACTCCACCTCCCACAGACAACCAACCAACCACCTGCTACCTCACACAGACAACCAACCAACCACTCACCACCACAAAGACAACCAACCACCCATTCAATACCCCACACAGACAACCAACCACTCCACCTCCTCACTACCTCACACAGACAACCAACCAACCACTCCACCACCTCGCACAGAGACAACCAACCACCCACTACTTCCCACAGAAACAACCATCCACTCACTACTCACTACCTCACACAGATCAACCAACCACTCACTACTACTCTACATCACTATCAACTCAACAACCAACCACTACCACTACCAACACAACCAACATCACCCACTTACTACCTCACACAGACAACCAACTCTCACTACATCACAACACAGAACCTCCCTACTCACTACCTCACCAACACACATCTCCATCACACACAACCACACTCTCACAAGAACAAACACTATCCTACTCATCTCTGACAACCAACCAACCACTCACCACCCCACAGACACCCAACCAACCACTCACTACCACACAGACAACCAACCACTCACTCACCACACCCCACACAGACAACCAACCACCACCTCTCACCGCCTCACAACAAAAACCAACCACTCACCACTCCACACACTCACACTATCACACACCACCACCTCACACCACCTCACACAGACAACCAACCACCACTCACCACTCCACTACATCACAAAACAATCACCACTACTACCTCACCAGACAACCAACCACTCACTCTACCTCACTACCTCACTACCTGACACAGACAACAACCACCTACTCACCTCAAACAGACAACCAAACTCACTCACTCACTCACCATCACACAGACAACCAACCACCACTACCCACCCCACACAGACAACCAACCACTCCACCCACTCACCACCACACACAGACAACCAACCACACTACTACCTCACAGACAGCCAACCACTCACTCACTCACTCACTACCTCACCCAAACAACCAACCACTCACTACCTCACTACATCACACAGACAACCAACCATTCAGACTCACTCTTACATCACACAGACAACCAACCACTCACTACCTCACTACATCACACAGACAACCAACCATTCACAGACTCACTAACTACATCACACAGACAACCAACCACTCATCACCTCACAGACAACCAACCACTACCACCCCACTACATCACACAGACAACCAACCATTCACAGACTCACTAACTACAACACAAAAAAACAATCACCACTCACTACCACAAACAGACAACCACTCACTACTCACCTACTATATCACACAGACAACCAACCACTCACTCACTATCTCCACACAGACAACCAACCACTCACTCACCACTCACTCACATCACACAGACAACCAACCACTCATACCTCAACTACATCACACAGAAACCAACCACCACTCACTCACTCACCTCACATCACACAGACAAACCACTAACTCCACTCACTACCTCACACAGACAACCAAACCCACCACCCACTCCACCTCCACTACCCACAGACAACCAACCACCACCACCTCACACAGACAAACAACCACTCACTCACCACCACCACTACCTCACTACCTCACACAGACAACCAACCACTCACTCACCACTCACTACATCACACAGACAACCAACCACCACCACTCACTCACTACATCACACAGAACAACCAACCACCCACTCACTACCACAAACAGACAACCACTCACCACTCACCACTACATCACACAGACAACCAACCACCCACTCCACTACCTCACACAGACAAACAACCACCACCACTCACCACCACCTCACCCAACCAACCACCCACTCACCCACTCACTACATCACAGAGACAACCAACCATTCACTGACTCACTAACTACCTCACATAAACAAACAATCACTCACTCACTACCACAAACAGACAACCACTCACTCACTCACTCACTACATCACACAAACAACCAACCACCCACTCAATACCTCACACAGACAACCAACCACTCACTCACTCACTCACTACCTCACCCAAACAACCAACCACTCACTACCTCACTACATCACACAGACAACCAACCACTCACTACCTCACACAGACAACCAACCACTCACTCACTCTCTCACTACCTCACATAGACAACAAACCACTCACTCACTACCTCACACGGACAACCAACCATTCACTGACTCACTAACTACCTCACATAAGCAAATAATCACTCACCCACTAACTCACATAGACAGCCAACCACTCACCCACTACCTCACATAGACAACCAACCACATACTCATTACCTCACATAGACAACCAACCACTCACTGACTCACTCACTCCCTCACACAGATAACCAACCGACCATTCACTCCCTCACTACCTCACACAGACAACCAACCCCTCACTCACTCACTCACTCATTACCTCACATAAACAAACAACCACTCACTACCTCACACAGACAATTAACCAATCACTCATTCACTACCTCACACAGACAACCAACCAATCACTACCTCACACAGACTACTAACCACTCACTCACTCACTACCTCACACAGACATCCAACAACTCCATGCCTCATGTAGACAACCAACGACTCACTACCTCACACAGACAACCACTTACTACCTCACACAGACAACCACTCACTTACTACTAACCACTTATTCACTCAGACTCATTTACTCCCAAAGTGAGCCAAATTTACTCACAGCGTGATGGTAGACACTGGCAATTTCTTCTCCTGTAGGTGAGTGTAGGCCTCCCACGCCCCGGACCATCTCACCCATCCCTCCAGCAGGTGTGGGTCTGTGGAGTCTTCGAGCGACTTGTACGCTAGTACCAGCAAGTGTTTGGCCCGCCCCTCTCTTCCTCCTCCTCCAGATCCTCCTCCTCCTCCAGGTCCTCCTCCTCCAGCTCCTCCACCACCACCACCATTAACGACAGGCGGAGATGGAGACGCCCTTCCTCCTGTTCCTCCTCCACCTCCCTTGTCCAGGATGAGCGTGAGTTTGGTGTGCTCGTAGTAGGAGTCTGGGACGGGAGTAAGAGAGAGAAGATATACTGTTTATCATTATCCGTTATGATGCTGAGAGAGAGAGAGAGAGAGAGAGAGAGAGAGAGAGAGAGAGAGATAAGATAAGATAATCAATAGAGAACATTACTAGTAAAATAAAATAAAAGCAATTTTAAAACAACAAAACATTAGCATTTGCTTCACTAACCCTGCAATAAGGTGAAGTGGCTGCCCAGTGCCTTCTCGTGCTTCCGGCCATCCCTCGGGTACATCCCAGCCCGGAACTCCTTCACCATGTGGGCTACCGGATACCATAACAACGGCTCTGGTGGTGAACATCAATACCCTGGTCACTCCTCTTTACTGTGCACGGCGGAGGGTGGCAGTGGTATAGTGTCATGTAAGAAGTCTAGTTGAAGTCTTTGCCTGTCTCTTTTCCTGTCTCTTTGCCTGTCTCTTTTGCCTATCTGACTGTCTGTCGTTTTCTGTCACTTTCTTTCCTAAAGACTTTCTTTTTTGTCTGCCTCTCTGTCCGTCTCTTTTTGACTGTCTGCCCATCACTTTCTGTTTGTCTGTCTGTTTGTCTCTGGACCATTACCATCATCTCGTGAATCATTATGGGTTATAAATATGTATACTGTATATTAATTATTTATTTCACTTAAAAACGGCATGAGGTAAATGACACATACACGCACACACACACTACTACTACTACTACTACTACTACTTACTACTTTGCTGTCACTTGGAATCGAGTATGACGATCATCTAGCTATGATACAATGATATGAGTTAATAAGGATGTCACTTTCGTTGATGAGCTTGGATGTGACTTAAGAGGCCGATACGGGACCGGCAAGTTCGTCCACAGATGCTGCGCGTGTGGAGATTTACTTCTAATGCGGGAGGGTGGCGCCAGCGTCTTTCCGGCGCTGGCGGCTGTCTGCCTCGGCATGCAGTCGGGCTAACTCGAAAGTATGAACACTTTCTTGTGTGGTGCTCCTCCAAGCGTTACGATGTGGGGGTCAATTTGGCACTTTTTCAGGTTTGGCTTAAGACTATCCTTATACCTTTTCAGTTGCCAGCCAGCGCTACGTTTACTATTCGTTAGGTGACTGTAAAGTAGCTACTTTGGTAGTCTGCTGTCGCCCATGCGGGTAACATGGCCGGTCCTTCGTAGAAGCTTCGAAACTCATACAATTGGTGTCAGCGAAAATACTCGCAATTGTTCTTTTGTCTTCCCAGCGAACTTGGAGGATGAAACATAGTGTGGGTTGGTTAAAATTTTCAAGTGGTTTGATGTGCTTCCTGTATGTGACCCATGTCTCCCTGCCATATAGCAGGGTGAGGAGAACCACAGTTCGATATACGTGCAAGTTTGTAGATAATTTCAGCTCCCTACAGCTGATAACCCGGGTATGGAGCTGCCAAAGGCTTGAGATGCACACCTGATCCGATGTTGAATCCCTTCATCGATATCCGCGGTAACATTAGATAGGGTAGTACCATTAAGTTAGATGGATGGCGAAGGTATGGCTGAATCAGGGGCAGGCTGAAATAGAATCTGAGTCTTACGTACAATCACCTCAAGGTCGAAGTCTGCATGCTCATCTGGGTAGGTGTTCAGGATCTCTTGTAGGTCGAGCTCAGTATGAGCGACGAGGGTGAAGTCGTCTGCATACTGAAGTTCAGTAATGGAAGCTGCCTGGAGTCGCCGTATGTTGAAAAGACCCTTCATCCGGTACTGGATGCCCACCCTGAAGTTTAAACTGGTACTGACACGAGTAAGGAAGGCAGCAAAGAAAATGGAAAAGAAAGTTTGGATGGGGAAGAACTCAGACTGGGTCCCTTTGTACAGGACACTGCTGCTCATGCCATCGTGGAGTTACCTCACAAACGGATGAGGGTCCGCCAGAGGGCTTACAAGTTGACCGAGTCGAAGGCCTTGGCTAGGTCGATGAAAGCCATGTACAGGTCACGAAGCTGTTCTCTGCACTTTTCCTGTATCTGGCGGGCAGCAAAGATCATCTCAGTGGTGCCACATGATGGTCTAAAGCCACACTGAGATTCCAGGAGGAAGTTTTCTGCTCCAGGAAGAAGTCTGTTTAGGAGGACTCGGGCGATAGTCTTGCCAGCTACGGACAGCAGCGAGATCCCACAGTAGTTGCCACAGTCTGACCGGTCTCCTTTGTTCCTACAAATATTGATAATGAAGACGTCTTTAAGAGCTTGGGGGATTTCCTCCTTTTCCCATATATTCTCCAGAAGAGAGTAGAGACAGCTGATAAGAAGAGGTCCTCCTGCCTTAAACACTTTGGCTGGGATTCCATCAGGCATTGAGGCGTTGTTATTTTTCATCTGTCTGATGGCAGTAGTTACCTGATACAGGGATGGAGGATAACTAAGGTGGGTCAGCTCAGGATGCTGAGGGACCTGCTGGGTACTCAGGACATCCACATCGGAGTTTAGGTTAAGGAAGCGAATGGTAGTGCTCTTTCCAGCGCTGAAGAATGCCTTCTTCGTCTTTTATTAGGGAGTTACGGTCGGATGAGTGGAGGGGGGCTGCACCATGAGTCATTGGCCCATAAAATGTTTTAGAGCAATTTATAAATTTGCGCATTTTGTGTTAAGCTGCGAGATTTTGCGTTTCACATGCTTTATTTTTCAACCATCTATTCTTTAGATTACGAAGTTCGTGCTGGGCTGCCACTTTCTTCTTATGGAGATTTCCGGGTAATTTTCATCAGACCAGCCCTGGTGTATTCTTTCGATCTGGCCGAGGGTTTCTGCAGGTTTTTGTCATGACTGTGTCGAGAATATCCCATTCGGCACCAGTATTTGGGTTGTTTGTTGTCGGGTAGTTTATCGCCCCTGTTCGAGCTGCTCTCTGAAAGCATGTGCTACTGCTGGGTCCTCCAGATGCTTCGCTTTTAAAGCTCTTCTGGAGACTTACTGCCTTCGCTGTTTTGGGGCTACGTGAAGTGAGAGTTCGGCTCTGACGAGCCGATGATCAGTGTCACAGTGTTCTGAGCTAGGCATGGTTCGAGTGATGAGGACATCTCGGCGATCTCTTTCTCTGACAATGATGTAGTCAATGAGATGCCAGTGTTTGGATCGTGGGTGTTGCCATGAACCCTTTAACTTGTCGGCCTGCCTAAACAAGGAATTAGTGATTAGGAGGTTGTATGGAGCACATTTGCCGAGGAGGAGTAGGCCGTTGGGATTACACTTGCCTAGTCCATTTCTCCCTAGGTTTCCCTGCCATATGTCAGCATCTCTGCCAACTCTGGCATTGAAGTCAACTAGTCGCACAATCTTATCATCTCTGGGGATAGAGGTTAGCAATCTGTCAACGTCGGCGTAAAAGGACTCCTTGATGTCATCCTCTGCATCCAGTATTGGGCCATATGCACTGATTCAGTGATTCAGTGGGACTCGGAGCGTCATGAAGTTCTCATTGATTCCAACAGGCATTTCAGTTAGCCTATGTAGGATGCCTTGGTGGATGGCAAAGTCAACTCAAGAAATGCGGTTTCTCTCCACAGCAGGTTTACCCATCCAGAAGAAAGTATATCCAGACCTCCATTCTGTGAGTCGACCCTCGTCTGGGAGCCGGAACTCACTAATGACTGCCATGTCGATGTTGTACCTAGCCAGCTCTTTTGCCACAATTACGGTTCTTCTTTCAGGTCGCTCATTTGTGCCAGTATCCATGCAGCAATCATTAGAGATTTTATAGTTTGTTTTTGATTTGATATGTTATTATGATTGTGTTTTTGACCTCATAAGTATGACCTTACTGGGTGCAGTTGCCCAGTGTTGTTGGAACTTTAGGCAGGCTATGTTTAGGCTACACACACACACACACACACACACACACACACACACTGTAAAGGAAGTATTGAAGTTTATGAGTATCATAATATGTATACGGTGATGGTGACATTAAAAAAGGAGAGGGAACCACACTTCACGTCGTAAAAGAGAGCCGAAGTCAACAATTACATAAATTATATGAATTAAATTTACCTTATTTGTGATATTGATGATTCCATTTCTGGTCCATCTCGTACACTGACGACGACAATCGTAAAGAGTTTGTTTTCTGTTTTTTCAATATATATATATATATATATATATATATATATATATATATATATATATATATATATATATATATATATATATATATATATATATATTCATGTAAATCCAATGAAAACGTGGATAAGATAAATCTTGATAAAATCACACGGGAAAATGGAAACAAGCGACACCTTTTAATAAGTTTTATTCAAAGACATCTTCAGAGCAACTGAGCAACAGACATTTTCAGGGCAACAGTTGCCTCTGAAGATGTGTGAATAGAACAGCTAAGGTGCTCATTTTCCTTTATTTTATATATATATATATATATATATATATATATATATATATATATATATATATATATATATATATATATATATATATATATATACTGTATATATATATATATATATATATATATATATATATATATATATATATATATACTGTATATATATATATATATATATATATATATATATATATATATATATATATATATATATATATATATATATTTTTTTTTTTTTTTTTTTTTAACAAGTATATCTCGTAAAGTGACGTTTATTCGATCAATATCTAAGACAGGAATCTTTTAGTTACCCATTACTGAAGATCAAAGGTCAGTGGTCAGTTGTATGATATTTGTATAGGACTGAAGCCCGGGTGATGTCATCATTAATAACGGTGGACTTGAACAAGCCATGGTAAACCATCCCTCGGTTGACCCCCTAACAGGTGTGGTGAAGACCATATTAATCTACATAGATATACAGTATCTACATTCATGTGTTTTGTCTTACTGTTTTTCTGCCTATAAGGATGTTATAAAGACAACAAATTTATCACTTTTTGGCTATCTCTCATTACATTAGTATTAAAATGAAAGTCTTTACTGCACCTTTATGTTAAAACCATTGTATGAGAGGTCACCAATAAGGATAAACGATACAGATAGAAGAAGAATCAACTGAGACATAACTGCCACATACCTCCCATCTCTTCCGAGGCGTCGGCCTCTATAGCGTTGAGGATATAGCCTTCAGAGAAGTGGTTGTTGGCTTGGAAGGCCTGAGCGAGGAGCCCCCGCAGGTCCCGGTGTCTCTGATCCCAGTTGATGAAGGAGAGGATGGCCCGGGGCTTGTGGCCGGGTCTCATTGACGACATAACTCGAGGCAGGTGCGGCTGGGACACCACCAGTGCCACTGACCCGCTCCTGCGGCACCAACAACAACACTTTAGTGAAGCTATTGACTACTGATACCATGAGTCGGGGTAAAAACGGTTAGTTAGTCCGGTGGCTTAGCATGACCCTGTGTGACTTTATATATCCTTTAAATTATACTTTATTTTAGTTATAGAACCATTTAAGGTATAGGAAAAATCAGGGAAACTTCCAAAATTTCCTTATGGTGTTTTCAGTGAATGAGCATACGTCATTCCTTTATGTAAATTTGTTTGTGTCGTAATTGCCTTCTTTTATGTCACATGTTATAGCTGAATACAATTTAAGATGTTTTACCTGGTGAAATTTAAATGTATGACAGATTACAGCAAATCAACAATGAAATTACTTTGCAATCCAAATTATAAACAATTATAAGTCTTTGATGAGAATATTGACATAAAGTTGAAGTCAGCCAATGAGTCCACAGGAGAAATTTTCTCAGATAACATACTGTAGATCAAAATACAGTAGATGTACTTACCCGCTCTCATTCTAAGCCCGATGCTCGAGCCAGAGTACTGTATGTGTGTCATTTATGGTCAAGTTTCTTATGAAAAAATACTACAAAAGTTCTGCATATGTGAATGTGATACATTGTGATAGGGCAAAAACGTTTTTGAATGGTACTGTATTTTTCAGGATGACGTTTATGTACAGTACATGTGACATACAAGATACATAAGCAGTTTATCGAACTGATCTGTATTACCACAAAAGCTTTATTAGATCTTACCTCATGAAGTACATGAGAGAATGCAGTTTAGAGTACTCGTACAATGACCTTTTTACAAACAAGGAAATACGACTACCTCTATACAATCGCTAATAAATCAGCGAAGATTTTTCTGAAGACAACCTCAACTGCTGAAGATATGGTTAATCTACTCGCTTATTAGATTATATTCGAAAGTGTGCTAAAACTACAAGAGAAGCTCTAAAAGAAGTCGTCTTTGGGATAAATGATAAATACTGTGATGCAGCTGATTTACAGGAAGCATGGCAGATAATAGCCATACCAGAGCCAGTCCTAATATTTTTAGCCAATCTGCTAAATATGAACGAAAGCTCTATTTTTCGACCTGAGCCTCATTGTAATGATTGTTGATGATGATGATGATGATAATGATGATGATGATGATGATGAATCAACAGAACTCAAGTTATCTACTCCTAAACAACGCAAATTTACTGAACTCTACCAGCCCATATGATATATGGCACCGTCGTACTAGTAGTATCACTATTTATGAATGAATGGGTATTGGTCATGTAACGACGGACGTGATTGGTGGATAGGTTTGCAATCGGTCATGCAGGTTGGCATTCGTTATAAATAGGTCTTTGAATATAACATGACTGTAAAAAGAATACATATAATATTGTATTCTAATAGAGGATGTCAATATAAATAACAACTGTGTAAACGGTGACTTATCTATACTATAAAGTATGTTCCTTTCACGGTTATCACGCATCAGCCACGCTCATTACGTCTGCACACTGGCGGTGTCAGTTATATGAGTATGTTCAAAAGGATGAACTCTTCCACACCATCGACGTGAGCTTGATCAAATGTTTGCTGTCAATTTTCTGATATCCTTTTCATAAACAAACAAAATGGTCAAGAGTAAGGCATCTATAAAATATTGTGTTTGGAATATGTAAGGTGCTGCAGTTCGAATCAGTATCAGACCATTTCATTATGATTTGAGGCCAATGAACCACACTTGACATACACCACCCAATATGTGAGGTGAGGAAATGCACTATAAGAACATAAGAACATAAGAATGGAGGAAACTGCAGCGGGCCTATTGGCCCATACTGGGTAAGTACATAATCCAGGCATTATTGATGGAAATGTATACAGAATTTATAAATCAATAAAATCAGATAAAGGAAGTGAAGAAACGAGAAACTGAAGTCAAAGAGAGAGAGATAGTAAGCAATATGACCGAATATACCCTGCAGTATTTATCTTGTTATTCCATACAACTCTATAGAAGATACTGAAGTGAAACTACAGTTTATATATTATAATAATATTACTTTATGCATATATATGATGAAAGTTTGGGACAATTCCGCGTATTACACTAAATGTTGTCAATCCACCCTCTTTAAGGTGTGGGCCCCAACTCGATCTCGGCAGTCCGAACCATTCACGAGTGATGGGGAGGGGACCGATGTGGGAGGGGTGATGGGGCATATTTGATGAGGGCAGAGGTGTTGTTGGTGTTGAATTCACAATATTTAATTGTATTATTTATCGCCGTTCTATAACATAACTTATTTGAAATATATTATTATAATGCATAGGCTCTCATAGTTATACAGTATATTCATGTCTGATGAGTCGTCGCTCATATAGTTAAATAAATTATATCACAATATTGCCCACTGACTCAGGTATTGACGGGCGGGACATAAGTGTTTAAAGACGTCAGAATTGTTAAAGACTATTATTTATTATTAATCTCTAAAATATTGTATTAGATTACTATCAGCTTATATCTGTCACTGATTAAGCATGCTTATAAATATGACGTTTACACCAGTAGTAAATACATACATTATCTAGAAAATGCATTAAACAGGAATCCCTATCACATGTAATAATCAGAATCCAGTGCAAAAACATTCAATAAAGAATTACAATGTCAAGAACTTAATGAATTTATCAAACCTGCTAAAAATGCAGATACGTATTCCAAAAACTTACAATGTCTATGAAGAATTATTTACAATGGATAAGCAGGCCTACATAGATATTGGACACCAAACATAGTCTGGTGTATGTCTAGGTTCGATCTGTGTGATGCAGAGAAAGGCTCCATCAGCTCTCGTGAATCAGAACAAAGAACAGTTTACCGTCACGGAGTGCTTCCAATGCTCAAGTTACTGATGAATCTGTTCCTGAGAATAACATAAGATTTCTTCCCACACTGTCTCATCCTGCTACTTATTATAAAACTCTGTACACTGCTTTGAGAATTTTCCAAAATGTGCTTAGTCAGTTAACTCAAAATAAATTGCCAGTATTCAGTGATGACGGAGTGCACCACATTGCCAGAGAGATAATTCTATGGCATCCAGATGAGTTTAAAAATTCCGTTCTCTGTTTAGGATCTGTTCTTATGATCAAGATAATACTGGGGTGTCCTGTACAGTGGCGGGAAATACGTTGGACGTATCCTCCTGTCTTTCCATATATACCTAAGTTTCAACAAGTAGAATGTCTTAAGTTGCATTCAGCTATAATATATGATATAAAATTAGGCCATTACCGCACACAAAAATGAAATATGTTTGTTCACTAAAAAAAAAACATTATCCAGTCTCATCATACGAAAGTTTTGAAAGTCTATATCTCAATAACTCACCAGCTTTGAGGGTGTTACCTTGACCTTTTTTAATATTATTATTTTTTTCTAATTTAAAATAAAGAGTAATTTGGTGGACATAATAAGTCACACTGGATCATGCTCATCTACCTGATTACAGCAAGACTACAGACGAAGGCAACGGTAATGAGTTTTTTAACTAACTCTGAGAGAAGTTAACACTACTCTTTTTAATGGAGGGGATTTTTCGTAGAAAGAATAGGCAGAATATTTAGTTGTAGGATTGTAAAGTGAGGAAGTTTGGTAGCGTGGCCGGTTAGTTATTTAACTGTAAATACGTTCTTTGGGGAAATCTTTCTAAACACCAATTCTAAGTACAGCTATTTATTATACTCTCAATGACACATACATATTAATAAAACATTATATTTACGTTACTAGAACATTATATTTAAGTTACTAAACACTGATTCTCGGACACAAACATGAAATGGATACACTTCCCACCATAAGTAACTCACCCTATGGATAGCTCTGACAATGACTCACGTGTGACCTGAGGGAGGCCCAGAGGGTGCTGCTGGACTATGTCTCCTTTGGGAGACTGCTAGCTGGAGATGCCGTGCTGGGAGGGAAGTCTCCCTCCCGACCTCGACTAGTGACGAGAGTGACTCTGTCTTCTGTCTTCAGTGATGTGAAAGTAATGACGTGGAATGGGCTGCAGGGACTTTATATTGGAGGCGAGCCGCAGATGACCTCTCCTAATTAACACTAAACTGGGTAGATCTAGACAGCTGTGTTTGCCCAAGTGCGTGGTCATGTCGCCGGTCGGTAATGCTTCATAATTATTACCACCGGCGTGTGTCTTGGCTAGGTGTGGTTTCTTTAACATAGTCATAACGCCGAGTTAAATCAGGTACCTTGTCCGTGACCTCTCCTGGGTCAGGTCTTACTGTCATTAGAAGGTGTGTGTGGGTTACCACATGGGCATCTACTTACATAAGAACATAAGAAAATAAGAATGGAGGAAACTGCAGCGGGTCTATTGGCCCATAATGGGCAGTCCCATTTACACCCAACTCCTATTGCTCATATAAGCATCCAACCTATGTTTGAAGCTATCCAGCGTATTCGAGTTAATGATGATATTTGGTAAAGAGTGGAGCCCACTAACTTGTTTTGGGGGACTTCTCAGTTTAATGGTATAAAATGGGTAGTGCGTCCATAGTTTTGCGCTGTTAACATTTTTTTTAAATATTCGGGGAACTCATTCGGTTCAGAAAGACCTAGTTTGGTAGGTTTTTGAGGGGTGCACGTGGAGTGCATCTGGCTCATGGACTACTTTCATAGCTTGACATCATGGAGTCAGTAACCTACCGAAATTGCGGTAAAAATTTTAAATATACCAATTAGCTGATCCCTGGATAATAGCGTATGTTTGTCGGGCAGCCCCACGTGCAGTGTGTGTGTCCGTTTGTAAGTTTATCATTCTTTCTCGTCGGCCGCGGCCAGAAATCAGCAACCTGCTATCTAGCGGTCGATTTGAACCATTTAACCGTACAACGTAATTCTAGTTCATTAATTGTAATTTTCGATCCAGTACTAAGAAAACAATACAGAAATAGTATACTGTTGTTCTGGTAA